CCATTTTCTCGGGGATCTCGGACTCGCCAGACCATCTCGATGATTCGCTCATCACGTCGTCATCGTGCTCGTGGTAGATAGTCTCGGCTTCGTCCGGTTCGACATGATCAACGTCCTTCTTGAAGCTTACCTTCCCCGCAGGAGCCGATTGCTTCAGGACTATCGCAGGCATCGCGATGGCCCTTCTCACAATGGCAGGCGCTGCGGCTTTGGCGGCAGCCTTCGACTTGGCTTGTGTCTTGTCACTTGACGTTGCTGGAGCTGAATTGTTCTTGATGAGCTCATGTCTGTACTTACAAGCGCTCCCCCTATCGCACTTCCCCTTCTGAAACGCGAAGCATGCTCCATCATCTCTCTTTGGTGACGATGATCTGGATTTGGATTTGCCCTTTCCTTTCCCCTTGGACATACTCTCCAACTTGTGCTCCGTCTTCTTGCTGTGGGAAAAAGTGCATTCATTCCCTTTCACGCACCCCTTCGCCGATTTGAAGTGGTACCAACAGGGGTTATCCTTGCCTCCGCCCGGACTCTTGCCTCTGTCGCCGGCACCGTCGGACTTGCCGTTCTTGCCAGCGTGGCCCTTTGCTTTGGCTTTTGGGAGCACAGGAGCGGCGTCAGGTCCACCGGGTTTCCCCTTTCTGCCCTTGCCACCCTGGTTCTCCTGTTTGCCAGTTGCTGGAGCCGCATCCTTCCCGCCTGACTTCATCATCGACTTGACCGATTTCTCCTTCATGTCGAGCATCAGGTCTTCCCGATCTGCCTTGATCTGATAGTCGATCAACGCCAATAAGAATTCATACGTCTTCTGAGGATGCTTGTCCGGTAGTCTATGGTAGGCATTGAGGCCGAACTCCATCTTCTTGCTCCCTTTGATCTTCCTGTAAAGGATGTCTCTGAGAGCCAGCTTACTGGGTCTGTCCTCGCTCCTCATCTTCAGCAGCAAATCATACCATTTGTTCCTGAACATGACCAAGTTCTTGTCGCCAGGAAAGTCAAGGTTGAATAGATGCTCGATGTGGTAGACAAGATCCGTTCTATCGGAAGTTCTGAATGATTGCATAACTAATGCCACCAACTCTCGTCCCTTCACGATCACCCCTTGTTGATGTCGTAGTTCAGAGTGTCGTGTAGCATCGAGGTATACGTCCTTGGCTTCGTCAGGTGCTTGTTTCAGCATGTTCTGCATGCCCATGGCCATCTTAATATCTATCGTAGCAAATCTGTCGCCACCTGAATCGCTAAGCAAATCCAGGTCTGGGTTCAACCCAAGAGCCTGCTCCAGCCATTTCGTCCATGCGTCGGTATCTGGATCTGCACATGCGCTCAGAACATTCATCAGCAGTTGCATCTTCCAGGTGTCAAGTTGATGGATCTTTGGCCAGGCCGGAATAGATACTCTCTCGGCCTCTTTCCTCGAGATTCTCGGTCGATCATTCTTGATCTCTCGGTTATCTCTCGATCTCCTTCGTCTCCTCCGTGTCCGATCGTCTTCTTCCTCTTCTTCTTCCTCGTCTTCCTCATCTCCTTCGTCGTCGTCATCCTCATCCTCATCATCGGGTGGATCATCCGGAGGTCCTCCTCCGCCACCAGCGAGGCTCAACTGACGTCGACCCGCTCCCTGCCCATTCCCATTGGGCGGGAATCCACCGTAATCCAATGGGGGCGTAGTACCGTTGTTTCCCCCTCCATCACCACCACCAGTCGTAGTAGTGGATTGTGGGACATGCCCAACAACCCCTTGCATCTGGGATAGGTGTACATCGATCATTGGATCACCGAAAGACGGAAAGAGGATCGAACCTGGCATCAGCGACGAATTAGGGATTTGTTTCGAAGACGATGACGGGATTAACCCAGCCACCTTCTTGTCTACCCTACCTGAATTAGCCTGGGTTCCTCCCTCAGCGCGTTTCACTACTGCTCGTTCACGATGTCCATCTTTGCTGCTGGAGGCTTCCTGCATCTCCAGCTTCTTGTGTGCACGTAGTTCCTCGTTGTCAGCATCGAGTTGGCGTACAAAACTCTCTTCTTGCTTGAGCGTCGCCTCTCTTTCCTTCAGTTGTCCCTGAAGCTCATGCATCTCCTCGAGGTACTCATCGTACATTCCCTTAGCTGTCAATCTCCAGTACTCAGCCTCCTTCGACTTCTCGTCCATCGTGCACCGTTCCTCTTGTTTCTCTTCTTTGACCTGGGCTAACTCCAAGATCGCATCCTGACGATGACCACCTTCGACAGCAATCATCTGGTCCTTCATCGACACGTCGGACTCATACTGTTTGACGATCTCTTCTTTTTCGCGAAGCAAGCAATCTGCTCTCTTCGATTCCTGTTCCGCAAATACTGTAACGTCATTCAGCCTCGCCATCAGCTGTTCCCTGGAGTCCTCCAAAGAGTACGTCTCGGGGCGCTTGACGAGTGCATGCTCCAACTGTGATTTCAGACTTTGGACCATCTCCTCCTCGTTGAACTTCTCGATAGATGTAGAAGATTCTATGCCTCTGATCTGTTGCTGATAAGCTGATATCTGTTGTGAAGCCTCACGGTGTATCTGATTTGCACGTATAGCTGATTCCTGCGCGGCCGACTTCTCGCTTGCCATGTAGGATCTCATCAATGCAATCTCCCGCTTCTGCTCCATGATAGTTCCTTCAGCTTGCCTCATCTGTTGCATCATAATATTCGACTCCATGTCTTTCTTCTCCCCGTACTGAAATGCGTTCATTTCCACCTTGCGCATCTGTTGGGCTTCTTCCTCAAACTTGCGCCATGCCTCAGCCATGTGGTGTTGGTGGTGACTCACTAGATGTCCCGACTGCTTGCTGGCAATCTCGCATCGTCTTTCCAGCTCCTGGATCCGGATGGTGCTTCCATAGTCTTCTTGGTTAAGATTCGCCATTGCTGCCGACATTTCATCAAGTGTCTTCTGATATTCCCCGATCTCCACCTCCATCTTATTCTTCTCTTTGATCACGGCGCGAAAATCTGCACTGGTGGGTGATTTTGACCTCCCACCCTTCGATGTCGATCTCACGCCCTTCTGCGACGTCCGTGGTGTCGCAGGCGAAGATGATGATCTTCTCGGTGGGGATTCTCTTTTCTTCGACTCCTGATGAACATCGATCTGCTTCCATGATCTTGTGGGAGTAGATATGTCGCTGAATAGCGCGGAACCTCCGCTCCCAGGTTCATCCTGTGAATCTGCAATCATATCCATCACCGCAGGAAGAGCCATCAATCCATTGGATCCCTCTGAGCTGCTGTTCCCAAAAGTTGCAGTACTTGGGCTCGCCGAAGACGCCATTGTACTGTGTATGTTATCGTTCCTTTATTGTCCCTGTACCCGCAATAAACCAGCTGTCTCCCAGTCCAGTGTAGAGCTTGTAGTTACGGCTGATAACCTGTCAAGAGACGGCAAGGTGACGTCCCGTGGGACGCTGTGCACCGAACCCTCAAGCTTCAATACCAACCACGTAGAAAGGTGTATACGGACGATGCCGTTATAGCCGAACCCGTGTAAACGTTGTAAGGAAGAAGGAATGATAATCACAGCAGTAGTCCTGACCCTGCGGCGCAAGCGGTTGTTTTGCTCTTTGTGCCAATCACGGAGATCCGCAGTCACACATCGGATCTTGAACCTCAAATGTGTCTTGAGCCAAATGGCGATCAATGGAACTTGGGAAGCAACACCAACAAGGACCTCAGAACTGCTACCCAATTTCGGCACGGGGCCTAGAGGGTTTTAACACATACATACATACATACATACATACATGCATACATACATACATACATACATACATACATACATACATACATACATACATACATACATACATACATACATACATACATTACATTACATACATACATACATACATACATACATACATACATACATACATACATACATACACATACATACATACATTACATACATACATACATACATACATACATACATACATACATACATACATACATACATACATACATACATACATACATACATACATACATACACATACATACATACATACATACATACATACATACATACATACATACATACATACATACATACATACATACATACATACATACATACATACATACATACATACATACATACATACATACATACATACATACATACATACATACATACATACATACATACATACATACATACATACATACATACATACATACATACATACATACATACATACATACATACATACATACATACATACATACATACATACATACATACATACATACATACATACATACATACATACATACATACATACATACATACATACATACATACATACATACATACATACATACATACATACATACATACATACATTACATACATTACATTACATTACATTACATTACATACATTACATACATTACATACATACATACATACATACATACATACATACATACATTACATACATACATACATACATACATACATACATACATACATACATACATACATACATACATACATACATACATACATACATACATACATACATACATACATACATACATACATACATACATACATACATACATACATACATACATACATACATACATACATACATACATACATACATACATACATACATACATACATACATACATACATACATACATACATACATACATACATACATACATACATACATACATACATACATACATACATACATACATACATACATACATACATACATACATACATACATACATACATACATACATACATACATACATACATACATACATACATACATACATACATACATACATACATTACATTCATTAATACATACATATGTATATATACGTATATCTACACATGCATATTTCTGTATATGTATATATCTATGTACACACACACATGTTGCATATTTAACCGACCTGGAAACGCAGCCTATTTCGCGAGGAGACCCCAGTTCTTCGAATCCCCTCTCCTGGTCGATGGCGCGGGCGTTGCCCTTACACCGCAGGATCCCGTCCACGAACTCCTGGCTAAGTCGTGACCGCAGGGTGAAAGTAGATTGCACAATCGAACCAGTAGTTCCCCAGGCAATTCAACATAGTTCCCTCAAGCTAGTGGGAAATGATGAGGGGGGGTATGTCTCCCTTTTCCATTTAATGTTGACCCAGGATGAATAAACCCGTCCCATTGTTAGGGGGGTGTTCCCTCCAAAGGTGGTCTGAATCCCCACTAAAGGGGACACCCCTATTAATCAACCAGGGGCTTGTTTGTCCGGGGTTAACATTACTGCGGATGGCTGCGAAATCCTCTTAGGCACCACCCAAGAAACCCAAAGGAATGATGCGATTCCCCGGTAAATAACAACAAACAATGGTTTCCCATGGCCCATGGCTTCAAACTGGTGCGAACGGATTTTGTCCATCCACGGCGAGCGTCCCGAAAGACAAGGCCGACAAAGGAAAAACCATCAAACAAAGGTATATCGCCCCTACCAAGTGGAAATTGGAAAGATTAGACAGAGCAGGATCTCAACTGAGTATGTTGTTAAGGATTGGTTTATCAGCCGTTTGAGTCCCCTTCTTGCTTCCTTCTTGATTTTTTCTTGCTGGTTTCGGAAAGGGGGATCAGCCAACGGGGGATCAGCCAACGGATATTGCTTTGAAACCAGCTGAAAATGCTCACCAAGAGAAACAACTTGAGGTTGTATATAAAGCTGCTTGTTTATCGTGTTTTAAACTAAGTCAACGCGGTTTGCTTAGTGCTGGAAGCATCCTAGAAGGGGCAACACCGTATACAGCCCGACTAAAAACGCTACCAGAAACCAAAAGGTAACTCGACAACTGACATGGCCTTGCGAGCAGCCATGTACAACCGCGATGTCCTACTCTTTAGGGGTACCCTCTTGTGGACGGATGGGTATGGGCAGTTGCCATGGGAAAAAATTAAATACTTTGGCAGTTTTCTTCGCAAGCACATTGGCGGTTTATGGCTTGCTTCATTCCGCGGCGACCTGACCATCACTGAACACGTGGCACGGCAGTATTGAACATGTTGCTGCTTTGGGCAAATACTCACGGGCCTTCACACAATAGAAGTGGAATGAGGCTACTCTTTGCCAGCAACTTTATCTTGCAGCTCTGTATCATGCCTGCCTCAGCACTCCTCCCATTTTCTGGCGGCAAGACACGCCTTGCCAAAACTACGGCGGTGCCTGGACCAATTATTACATGGCAGCACACGCACCGTTATCAAAGCTGCCAAGGGCCAACGTGTCTGGAAATTGAAAGGCCGTTCAAACAAGTACAGTAAAGCACAACAGCTTGACTCGGACCCCAAACACGAAATCAAGAAGCGCAGCGTCTAAAGTGATTTGAGTAAAGCTCCCAAGGAAGCCCAGCATTTTACCTTTGTCCCGCCGAAAACCCCCTTCAGTGGATGGTGGACCTGTTGATCGCATGAGTCATCAACATCAGACAACGACCTCGGAGTGGTCCTCTAGTGTGACTTCTCCGTCACCATTGTCCAGGAGGTGAAACAAAGCAGCACCATCTGTCACATCCACGTCCTGAAAGCAAGCCAAGTTTGCGAAAGTCCCCGGAAACATTGACCGACCATAGTGGATAAAGCCATGGGCACAGCTTCTGGGGGCCCTATGCCTGCCACACGGATTGCACTTGATTCTTCGGCCCGCAGTTGATCAGATCTTTGGAAAACATGCAAAGAACACACGCTTTTGTCTGACTGAAGTATTGACACATGCGCACCGTTGAGCTGACAGGAGGGGTTTTAGCAGAACTAAACAAATCCCAAAAAAACATCAGAAAAACAAAAGACTCTTAGCCTAATACGATGATACAAAGAAATCGCGGTGCGAGTTTTGCATCCTTTACCTTTTCCCCAGCTTCCGTTCCGCTTCGGGGGATGGGCGGGAGAAGATGGCATGATTAATTTATGGGCACTCGACGTTGCTTGACAATTCCCAGGCGCGTCCATGCCTTGAACGCTGGCAACGTTCAAGATCAACTTGGGTTGCCTTTCTGTAACTGGGTTATGGGGGGGGACTCTGCGCGGGCTTTATTGAGTGAAAACAAGACGGTGCATGACTTAAAAGACGCCGGGTGATTGTGCGCAGTACTCAGCATTTTAAACCTTGTAATAACAAACGGCTCGGCCCAAATTGCCCCCGCATGGTTTTCAAAAAAAGAAGGAGGCACAACTTCTGTCTGGCCAGGGGCGCTTCTTTGAATGAAACCTGACTTCCAACCTCAAAGACCGATGAAATCCGCTCGTCTGACCTCATGCGTACGAATGCCACGTGTTCATGTTTGTTGCTCTGCGTTGCGGCAAGTGTTGCAGTGAATTAAAGCTAGGGAGCCTTGGGGCTTTCAAATTACCCCCCCCCCCCCCCTTACACCCCCTCCTCTTAAGCACTCCATAACTGAACTGCAACTTATTAGTACCTTGCGACCTCCAAGGCTATCTGTTCTTTCGTCGGACCTCTGCATACGTAACACTGCGGCTCCCTTTGACTGCCCCAACAAAGTCCCGGTTTTGACACACACTGTGAACCCTTCGATGGAGAAAGATGAAACCCTTTCCTTTTGCAGGATGTGCGGCTTTGATGGAAGAAACTCTTTGGATACAAAAGATGCATGGCTACTTGAGTTTGTCTCAAACTAGGAACCCTCAAACACAAACCAGAAATGGGCTTGATAGTTAGTTTCCCCTCTGCTTCCTTTTGAAGGCAACCAGTAGATCCTCCGCACCTTCCTCCCCCCCCCCCCCTTGGTTTCCTTTCGAAAGCAACCAATAGATCCTCCCCACCTCCCCCAAAAAGAGCGAAAAGAACCCACGGCCGCCCACGACCGCCGAGCTGCCAAGGTCTGGAGGTAGGCAGCCACTTTGGGGTTCGACAGCATGGACGTCAGCGTGCCCTCTGTAATCGTTCCTCGCAGAGCGGCACCCCGAACCAATCAGATGCAGTTTCTCACCAGAGTCACAATCAAAACCCGGTACTAAAATGGTCGTAATCCCAGAACCCTGTAAGGAATCAAGGAGGCGGCCGCAGCTATTTATGGTTGGGATTGTCCCGTACTATCCTTCATCTACCCGGGTTTTGATTGTGGCTCACCTGGACCAGGTGGAAAAAATACATCGGGATACCTCCTTGAGAGTAAACAACGCATTCTCCCAGTCTCGCAGCCGAGAAGAATCTCGCAGGCGTTTCGCCCCAAAGGCTATGCACTAAGACCCCTTATTGCTCCTTAATGGCAAAGCGGGTGCGGGTGAACCAATGGTCAATTGAGACCTGTTTGCGCCACCCAAAACTAAGGCCAGCGAAGGATGAAAAGACAAGCCGGGGTTCAAAACGCCGCGGGTGGCTTGCACTATATAACGGACCAGCAAAACAGGCAGAGAGGACCAGCACATTTTTTGAGGCACTTCCTACCGCTTGGAAGTAACCACCTTGCGGATTCAGAGTGTTTCCCCCGAAAGCTGATGGGACACCTCATCCGAGGGCTGAATCCCGGGTTCACACGTGGAACCTATCAAGTATTCAAGTGGCCCCTAGAAGAAAATGGCCCCCCGCAACAGCCCAACGCTCTTATCAAAACTCTCAGACAAAAGCAGGGCTTCCCACTTTTCAAGCCCTTGAAGCATCACCTCTGCCCAGACCTGGCAACCTTTCAGGACCTTGACGAAAAAATGGGTGCAACCTAGCGCTGAAGGGTCTGACAAAGGGCAAGCTCGCCAGATTTCCGTTGGCGAACTGCCCAGCCCGAAAACACGATGTCTTTTGGTTTCCCTGGACATGCCATGGAACCCAGGAAATAGAACCCAAGGAGTTGCTGAGGCGAAGTCCCCAAGGTTCTGGCTGCCTTTACCCAAATGCATTGGGTGTTACACGAGGGTATGGGAAAATTTGGAAAATTGCAAATCCCCTTGTGGCTCCTTCTGGGGGGACAATAACCAAAAGTGGGCAATTTTGCATATGAAGATAGCAGCCGGCAGGCCCCAAAACTCGCGGATTTCCTTGTGGCTTCCGTTTAAGACAAGGCGAAAAGGGGAGCCTTCGCCTCAAAAGAACCAGCACGGAAGAGACCGTCCGAGGGTCCGTGGTCGGAGTCCATGGCCCTGAACACCGACTCCAGCTTCTTTACCTGAAGAACGGCTGAAAAAAGGGGTTGCTCACTTTTCGCCTTCCGAGCAAAAGGTCCGGCTGAAAAACCGGGTTGCTGACTTTTCGCCTTTCGATCGTCGACCTTTTAGAGAAATAAAGAAGCCCATTTGTTTCCAAACGTTCCGACGGGCCATCCGGTCACCCGGGCAACAGCCGACAAAGCCCGGAGTTGCAGAGAGCCGAACCGCTCCGAAACCTGGCTGGCTTTACCCCATAGCTTTCAGCTGAGCAAAGGCCAAAATTGACATAAAACACTCCGCAGTCTCCTTTAGGAAGCTCCTCTCCAAGTTTGTGCTCTTGGGATTCCATGTTGGCTTGTGGTGGGGCAAGTGGCGATCTTGAAGACAGCGTTGCAAAAACCTGGAAGCCAAAACCCTGAGCGAGTCCTTACACTAGATGGGGCAAAAAGGACCCTTGCTGCAAACCTGCAAAGACTCTCAAACCAAAACCGGTTTGGTCCCTGACTCCTTCCAAGAAGGTTGTCTTTGGGGCAGGGAAAGGGTGGTAGAGGTGTTTTTTGTTTTACTAGGTCCGGTTTGTTACTAGGTCCGGTTTTCCGCAAAGCTGCCAACATCCCCTTTTGGCAACCAAAACCCTCTTAACCACACCCTAATGCAACTCTAAAGCCGCTGCTAAACCAGCAGCACACCTAACACAAATCAGCTCCAAACCACCCCAAACCCACTCACCCTAAACCCGCCCAACAGCCACCCTCATGCAGATCTAAGCCAGCCAAAACCCCCCTAACTTCACCCAGCCCCCAGCAACTCCCAACTGCCACCCAATCAGAGCCAATAGGCAACCCCAGGTCCAAGTGATGCTGGTGATGCCGGGGACCAGACCTAGTAAAATAAAAAAACACTACCTCCGGGAAAGGGTCATTCTCCAAAATCGAGAAGGTTCGAGGTCGGCCAAGAAAACCTCAGGTCCGCTTCATCCAAGTTGAAGGCACCTCCAAGCCGGCCTTGCCCAAGCCCGAGCGCTTCGCGGTGACGGTGTTATTGTTTTTTTTTCCTACGGCTGGTTTTGTACTAGGGTGGTCCCCTGGTTGGTTGGTTGGTTGCTTGCTTGCTTGCTTGCTTGCTTGGCTGGCTGCATCCCCGGCATCACCAGCCTGATTTGGTCCTGGGGTTGGGAGTTGCTGGGGGCTGGTTTAAGTTAGGGGGGTTTTGGCTGGCTTAGATCTGCGTAAGGGTGTGTCTTGGGGTGGTTTGGGGTTGATTTAGGCGCAGGCTGCTGTTGGGCGGGTTTAGGGTTGACTCTGAGTGGGTTTGGGCTGGCTTGGAGCTGATTTGTGTTAGGTGTGCTGCTGGTTTAGCAGCGGCTTTAGGGTTGCTTTAGGGTGTGGTTAAGTGAGTTGTGGGCGAGTTTTGGTGGTTTGGGGCAACGCCCCAAGAGACACCCTAAAGCCGCTGCTAAACCAGCAGCACACCTAACACAAATCAGGATGTCAGCCCTTCGCGTCGCCTAAATCACCCCCAAACCACCCCAAAACCCGCCCTCATGAAGTCCTGCTAAAACCCCTCTAACTGAAACCACCCCCCAGCAACTCCCAACTGCCATGACATCAGAGCCAATAGGCACCCCCAGGACCAAGTCAGACTGATAATGCCGGGGGTGCAGCCAGCCAAACCAACCAACCAACCAACCAACCAACCAACCAACCAACCAACCAACCAACCAACCAACCAACCAACCAGGGGACCAGCCCTACTAAAAAAACAGTTCCGGGAAAAAAATAACACCGGATCCGGGCGCTTCGCCCGCCTCAAAACCTTGAGTACACCAGGGATGCCTTCCAGGGTTCTCCTAGGGCGTTAAGGAGCTCCCACAACCAAGCCTGAAGTACCTCAGATTGATTCTGGTCCATATTCCTTGAACTTTCACTGGTCAATGAAAGAAGGAGACCCCAGATATATAAAACATGTTTAAACAAGAAACAGCCTTGGCCAGGCTTCTGTGCGGCCAGGCAAAACATGTTTTCTGGCAAAAGCGTGGAAGATCGATTTTGAGCAAGCCCCTTTATTTCAGGAAACCGATCATAGAACCTCAAGTTTCCTAAGCCGCCGTCGTTGTCTTTTGGAACGCAAGGCCGCGCCATGCTTTTTCCGAGTGGCATACTGCGCCCGCTTTGTCATGCGTTCCGTCACCAGCGCCTCCGCGTCGTTCTGCGCGGCGTCCAAAGTGTCCTCAAGCCGAACTCCCGCGCGCAGCCGCGGCTTTTTTTTTGGCGGCAGTCTTCACGCGATCCCTACGCATGGAGCCTTGGAAGTACTGATGGGTCACCTTATATGGTTGCATGCCTGAGAATTGCCTCCATCCCAGCAATGTCTTTGGGGGGAACCGCTCTACTTGGATGTTCAGCCTACTTAGGCGATAATGATGCCCTACGTACTAAGTAGGCTGAACATCTGAAATAGTTGTTTAAGGAGGAAAGCCAGTAGGAAAACAGATTTCAACCGTACGCTAACCAACAGATAATACCGATAGTGACCCTGATTGCTTGGTCAGGTCTGAATTTGATTTTAACATCATGCCTTTGCAGGTTAAAATGCGTCCATCGTCTCTCGCTTTTTTTTCTCCCAGATCTCCTTGAGGAACACGGCGCCAATTACGCGAATGACTGCGAAGACAATGATGGTAACATACCTCGGCACCCAAGGTGTTCTTTTTTCACGGCCCGCAAACCATGGCCAAGGCCATTCCCCAACTAGGATCATATTTGGCTTGGCCGCCCAAACCAACAGCGGCGTGGTTAAAAAGGGAGTCTTGTTTGCTAGCCGGGTTTAAAGGGAAACCCCTTCAAAGACGAAAGTGCAACACTGGAGGTCGCTGGCCGCGTTTGGCTCTCACAGGGTGGTTTGCAATGACCCTAGAAACAGACCCAGGGAGTTCGGGAGGGCGACTGTCGCCAGGCACTCCCTCTTAACAAAAATTCACCTCGGTAGCTGTCTGATTCGGTGCACAGAAGGGTTTCCTGCAGGTAGGATCCCACCTTGCTGCATGCAAGTCTTGACAAGGAGAATGCAACAAACCTTGACTGTTGGGAAGGTGCAACAGAAGTTGGCAATGCCCGAAGGTCATGAGCCACATAGCCAACCAGACACAAGCCAGCCGAGCACCGCGACCCCAACTTTTTGTGGATGGATGGACGCACCAGTTCACAGGCATGCCTCCGAAGCAGGCCAACTGCACATGGTTCGAGTGAGTAACATAGGTTGTGCCCCGCGTGGTTCGCCCACGCAGCCACGCAAAGCAAAAAGCAAATATGCCCCAAAAGTCAGCGCAAAGCAACTCTCCCGGCTTTTAAGCATCAAACACCGTGCAACATTGAGAAAGTTGGTGCCAATCCTAGACAAGAAGACAACAACGAAAAACTTGCAAAATGCTGCGAAGGATGCACGAGGAAGAAGACCACGAAGCCGTGACTGACCTTCTCCATCACCGGCCGTGCGTTGACAGGCCAGTTCCCGGCGAAAGTGATTTCCTTGGCTGGGGGAGGGGAAAGTACCACGGGCTGACACAGGCCCAGAGGCACGGGCGGGGGGGCCGCTAAGCGGCAGCGGCAGGCAGGGGGGGGGCAGGCCACCACCACCGAGCGCGGGCGCGGGCGGGGGGGGAGGGGCGGGGGGAGGAAGGCCACCACCACCGGGCACGGGCGGGGGGGGAGGGGCGGGGGGAGGCAGGCCACCACCACCGGGCTCGGGCGGGGGGGGAGGGGCGGGGGGCGCAGGAGGAGCCCAGGCGGGGCGGGCCCTGCGGCCAAGAACATCGGCGCGCCGAATGGCGGCCATCTGCTCAAGCCGGAGCAAGAGAGCGGGAGTGGGGTCAAGGGGGGAGGACCACCCGAGCCGCCGGGCAAGAGGGAGCGCCGGGGGAGGAACGCGACCAGGCGAGCGGAGAGAGTCGTACGCCGAGCACTGCCAGAACAGGTGCTCGACGCTCGCAAAGACCAAAAGACCGCAGGCCTGGCAGGACTGCCGGAGAGGGCCGGACGGGGTCCAAGCAGCATCAGACAGGGTGCCGCCAGTCATGACACCGACGGCATGGCCGGAGGCACGAGCCGCGACGGACCGCAGAGAGGAGACCAAGCCAGAAGAGACCACCAGGCCCTCGGCGCGCGCAGCGACAGCGTCGCGGCGCGAGGAAGCGAGCCAGAGCCGAAACTGACAGACGCGCCAAGACTGACGGAGGTCATGCAGGGCAGCGGCGCGACCAGCAAGACGATCCGAGAAGGAAAAGCCAGTGCCGCCACCAGGAGGACGAGCGCCGCCAAGGTGAACGGACCAGCCCCACCGCGAAAGCCACGGCCGGAGAAGGCCGCGAAAGCCAGAGGACCAGTCGAGACCGGAAGCAGCAGCCCGAACCGAATGCCAGCGCGCGATGGCCGAGAGAGCGCGACAGGCACCGAAGAAAGCCAAGTCAGAAGTGTGACCAAGCTCCAGGACCCTGCGGAGATGAGGCGAAGCTCTGCCGCGGGAGAAGGCAGCGCCATGAGTGGCAGTGGCACACCGCCGATAGTGGGCCAGAATATCGACAGCGCGAGGAGCACGACCGCCAAGGAAGCAGCCCCAGACGGCCTTCGCAGCGACAACGGTAGCGGCGATCCGTTGCTTGATCTTGAGAGAGGCCTGCAGAGCGCCGGCCCGCAGGGCGACCCGATCAGCGGCAGCAGCGCGCGCAAGCTGGGCGGGAGACTGGCCAGGACCGCAAGCGAAGGAGCACCCGAGGGCAGTCAAGGTGGAGGAAGCCGGAAAGCCAGCGGCAGCCAAGGCGCGCTGCGCGGCAGCGGAGCGACCGAAGAACTGAGACTTACCCGGGTGGGTGCGAAGCCTGCCGAACCCCTCGAACGCCTGCCAATGCTGCAAGTAGTTCTGCAGATCGCCGACGCACCGAAAGAAAGCGGTGCGATCGTCAATGTAGAGACCAGGGACGCAGCCAGGAATGGCCTGAACGATGCGGCGCTGAACACCGCAAAGGAGGATGCCGAGAGCGACGGGCGACCAGGGGTCGCCTTGGGCGAGGGCACGCACGCCGGTGATGGGAGCAGAGGAGAGAACACCACCGAAAGAGACGAACCTCCGCTGCTGAGCCCACATGTGACCGAGAGCGCCGGCGACGCCAGGGGGAAGGCCGGCGCGGCGCATGCAAGCCAAAGCCGTGACCGAATCGGTGGAGTCAACTAAGACCAGCCGCAGGAGTTACAGACAAGATATAGAGGTTACACAAATTTAACGGAACTTGCATCTACTTATAACTAACTTCGCAACAGATACAAACAGTTATCCGCAGGTAGTAAGTTCGCAAAAAAAGATACAAAAAGTTAGAAAAACTTAGAAAAAGTTATAAAAACTTACAAAAAGTTACAAAAAGTTACAAAAAGTTATCGGAGAGCAAAAATCACACGTTGTGGTCAGCGCATAATTGCACAAAACAAGCAATGCCTAGATACGAAAGCGGTTGAAAAAGAGTGAAATCTCTCAAGGATCCGTCAATGAACGCTGTCAAAACTCTCTAGCCGCTCAAGACTCTCCACGCTGTCGAAACTCTCCGAAACTCTCCAGCCGCACAATTTTTCTAAGACAGCCGTCGTCGAGTCCGTCAAATCAACACTAGCAGGTTGCCATCCACCTCTCTCCAATAGGCAGGGCAGAGCCATTTACAGGAGTTCAGCTGACGCCACGCCTTACAACTTGTGGGCTCAAAAGAAGGCACGCCGGGCATCTCTTGAACCACGCGTCGAAAAAATCGCACCTAGACATTCAATCACTTCGCCGCGGCGACGAAATGCTTCAAGCATGATGCATTCAGACGCCAGCAGCAGCAGCTGCCCCGGCTCCCAGAGCCCAAGGGCGCGTTTTTTTGGGGTTGGAGACAAGTGAAGGCAGTCAAAATCTGGGCTGACACATTTTCAGCGGGCCCCTTGTCAGAATTTTCTGAGTTTATTCCAAATTTTCTGAACTCAGCAAATGGAAACAAGTACTTGGCAAGCCTCAAATTCAGAATTTTTCTGAATTTATTCAGAATTTTTCTGAATTTATTCAGAATTTTTCTGAACAAATTCAGATTTTTTCTGAACTCAGCAAATGGAAACAAGTACTGGGCAAGCCTCAAATTCAGAATTTTTCTGAATTTATTCAGAATTTTCTGAATTTATTCAGAATTTTTCTGAACTCAGCAAATGGAAACAAGTACTGGGCAAGCCTCAAATTCATAATTTTTCTGAATTTATTCAGATTTTTTCTGAATTTATTCAGAATTTTTCTGAATTTATTCAGAATTTTTCTGAATTTATTCAGAATTTTTCTGAACTCAGCAAATGGAAACAAGTACTGGGCAAGCCTCAAATTCAGAATTTTTCTGAATTTATTCAGAATTTTTCTGAATTTATTCAGAATTTTTCTGAACTCAGCAAATGGAAACAAGTACTGGGCAAGCCTCAAATTCAGAATTTTTTTCTGAATTTATTCAGAATTTTTCTGAATTTATTCAGAATTTTCTGAACTCAGCAAATGGAAGCAAGTACTGGGCAAGCCTCGAATTCAGAGTTTTTTGAATTTACTCAGATTTTTTGTGAATTTATTCGTACCGTTAGCAAGTCAGTATTTCAATACCAATGGATCCCCCCTCAAACCCTTCAGGCCAAAACTCTCAAACTCTCAAATCTGAACCCCTCCACCTCTCAAATGAGTTGTGCACAAGCTCTGGTTCAACACTGTCTCTCAGCTACACACATCAAGCTCTCACCACTCTTGAGTCACACATGATGTCATGCAAATGTTCCTGCTCGAGTTTGGAGTGTTTGAGAGTTTCTGAATTTGACTGGGCAGCTTCTTTGCTTGCAGATTTCAGTGATGCTCGAGTCACACACCATGCAAATGTTTCTTGAGAGTTTGGAGAGTTTGCGAGTTTCTGAATTTGACTGGCCAGCGCCTTTGCTTGCATAATCACTGATGCTTGAGTCACACACCATGCAAAACTCTCATAAACTCTCACCCCCTCAGAACTTTCGAAACTTTTAAACTCTCAAGACGTTCCAGGTTCTCATCAACTCTCAAACCCTGAAAACTCTCATAAGCTCTCACCCCCTCAAAACTCTCCAAACAAAACCCCCGTGATGAGACAGGGGATCCTTTCATTTGAGCCGCTTTTGTACATTGTCGCCAAACAACAACGAAGCCGCCGCAGCATTTGTTTCCTCGCGGATGCGCGCTTGCCTTATGACGGGCGAAAGCTTTGTTTGGACTTAGGAGGCGGCGTTGTCGGCGCCGCCTCAAAAATGTCTCGTTTGGACTTCGGAGGCGGCGTTGTCGGCACCACCGGTCCCAGATCGCACTTGCAGTCCTTGGCTGCTTGCTGCAAAGCTGACGCGTCTTTGCCCATCAGATAGCTTTCAAATTTCCAGCCGTAGCAAACCGCGCAGATCGGGTCTTGGCGCCAAATTAGGCGCCGTGACATGGCGGCCCCGCGTATGCACTTGATCCTAATTTTGCTCAAGCTCTCAGTAATCCTCTCACAAAACCGCAGCCGAGGCCAACGCTGGCTGCACCGATGTTGCACAAAGCTCTCAGCAGATTGCTACCAAAACATGGCGAGTTTGCAAAGCACAGCTTACGTGGCGATCAACGAAAACCGACTCGAAAAAACAAGAAAAAGTTATAAAAAGTTAGCAAAACTTATCAAGAGCTACACTCACTTAACTTGACTTAAAAATCCACTATCGAAACTTATATCTAGATGTGAAAACTTGATAAAAACTTACCATAACTTAAAAACAAATAACAAGTCCAATAAACGATTATATGTCCCCGCAAGTGTTGGAAATGACTATGCCCGAGTTGAGCTAGTTGCCGAGCACTTGCCGAGCGCTTGCCGCCCGGTTGCCGCCTACTTGCTAACTGCTATAACTTGTCGGCAAGCGCCGCGGCTGGTCTTAGAAAGGCCTTCGCAAAGTCCAATGAAGCACCGACGGGAAGAGAAGCGGCCTCGATGCCAAGCGCAACCACGAGGGACTCGGCATCGAGCGTGCCAGCGGTGCCACTGACATGCAGGGGGTGCAGCAAATTGCGCCAGGCCGGGCGCATCTGCCCGAGGCGGGCTTTGCTCCAAGCACGGAACAACACCGAGCCGACCGAGATAGGCCGCACGGCCGTGACAGCACACGGACCGGAGCCAAGCGCAGCGGAAGCAGCCTTCGGCAGGAAGGAGATACGCCAGCACAGGAGCGGGAGAGGCCAACGGCCCTGCGCCTCGATGACCGCGAAGAGCTCGGTGAGAGCGTCCCAGGCGGGGGACGGGAGAGCCAACAGCGTGGAGGCACACCAGTTGTCGGGACCAGCCGCGGTCCGGAGCATGCCACGGGTGCACGAACGCAGCAGATCGACAGTGAGAGGCGGCAGAGCGACCGGAGGCAGCATGGGGAGCTCCGTCCACCGCCCTCCCCCAGCCCCTCGTGCGTCCTTGCACACCGAGGGCCACCGCCTTGCTGCTGCCGACGATGCCTTTGCGCGGCGCTGGCAGGCTCACTGGCATGCTTTCCAGCAGCGTAAATGGGCTGGCGCTCACGACATCGCTCTGGAGGTCGCTTCCTACCGCACTCACACGGCCAAGCTGGGCCATCAGTGGGTTCGTCACTACCATGCCTGCCGCGGCTGTGGTCTGCTGGTCTCCCGCGACCAGGTTGTCTCGTCGGTCTGCATCTCTTCTGGCTCCCCTCCTGCGCTCAGGCGCCGCAGAAATATCTGGGCTCAGTGCCGCGCCATCGCTGCCAAGTCCCTCAAGGATGCACGCGATCAGCGGCGTCTCTCCGATCAGGCCGGTGGCACCGCTGCCACCAGGCGTGGCCTGCGTGCCGTTCGCGTCGGCGAGGCTCGCCATCCCGGCCCCTCCTCCTGCCTCGCCTTGGCTTCTTGGAACATTTGTTCTTGGCGCCATATCGAGGCGGCCCTCGCCCATGCCGATGCCCACTCGGCTTCCATCCTCTGTCTGCAAGAGGTTGGCCTGCGGGAGCAACAGCTGCCCGGCGCTGCTGCCTTCCTTCGTGCTCGCGGGTGGCAGCTTGCGGCCATCCCTGCTCACTCTTCCCCCGGTGGCGGGCGCGGCGGCGTTGCCATCTTGGTTCGGGAGCCTTTGGGCCTCCACGTCCTCAGCTCCTTCTCCGCTGTCGCTGGGCAGGTCCTTGCCGCTCGGGTCTTCGGCGCGTCGGTGCCTCTGGTGGTCGTCTGTGCCTACCGTCGTCCTGCGGCGGCCGACGAGTTGCTCCCCCAGCTTGATGCCGCGATCCTCCCCGTCGCTCATCTCCACTGGGTGCTTGCCTGCGACTGGAATGCCGCTCCGGTCAACTCGCCCATCGCCTCCCACATGCAGCGCCTCGGCGGCGGGTTGGTTGCCACTGCCCAGCATGTGCGGAGCTCGGGGCCGATCGACCATGTGTGGGCTTCCCCTGGCTTGGCTCTGGTTGGTTGGCAGTCTCTCCCTGTCCTTTCTGACCACACCGGCTCTCTGGTGTCCATGCGTTGCAGGGCTGGGCCCTCTCTTCCCTGGGGAGGGGAAAGTACCACGGGCTGACACAGGCCCAGAGGCACGGGTGGGGGGCCGCTAAGCGGCAAGCAGGGGGGGGGGGCAGGCCACCACCACGGGGGGGGAGGGGCAGGCCACCACCACCGGGCACGGGCTCGGGCGGCGGGGGAGGGGCGGGGGGAGGCAGGCCACCACCACCGGGCACGGGGGCGGGCGGGGGGGGAGGGGCGGGGGGCGCAGGAGGAGCCCAGGCAGGGCGGGCCCTGCGGCCAAGGACATCGGCGCGCCGAATGGCTGGGGGAAGAAAGAGAACTGCAACCTGACGCGGGCTGACAGCACGGGAAGGGCGGAAAGGGGGGGGGGAAGGGGGGCGGGAAAGAAGCATCAACCAGAGGGCGGGCCCCCTGCTTGATGAGCGCAGAGGCCGCGAGCGAAAACGCCGATCCAAGCCCAGGCGGGAAAAGGGAGACAGACGACCCCAGCAGGCAAGCAACCAGGCGGCGAGGAACAGACGGCCAAAACCCCGGAGGGACAAGGACGCGCCCAGACAAACCGCCAAGGAAGAACCCACAGGGCAGAGCCAAGCAAAGAGACCCCGAGCCGGCCGAGGGCCGACCAAGGCCGACGCGAGGAGGGAAAAGCGACGCGCCGCCAAGGCCCGGAGGCCGGAGAACACGCGAGGCGGCGGAGCCGAGAGCAGAGCCAAAAGCGGCAAAGACGCGACGAGAGACAGAGAGAGGAACCAAGCGAGGACAGCCGCAGGAGCCGCCAAACCCCGCAGGGACAGGCGAGGCACCGGGCGCAAAGCCAAGGCAGAGACAAGGCAGGGAGACGGAAAAAAGAGAGCCACGACCCCACAAAGCCGGAACAGCGAGAGAAACGAGACGGCTCAAACCCGAGAGGGACAGAGCAAACCCGAGAGACCGCTGCCGAAAAGGAGGAAGTCGAAGCCACCCCCACCGGGGGAGTGTCGGGGCCGAAGGCACCCGGGCGTCACCCTCAGTCAGCGGGGCGGCCATATCACAGGCTTGTCCGTAGGGTCCACCTCCATGGTGCCCACCTGGTCCTCCAAGATCCGCGGGCGCTTGGGCCAGTGAACGCCAGGTCCTCGGCCGCGGACATGAAGTGGTCGGGGGAGGATGCTCGGTCCTCAGGCTCCGAGACAAGAACTGCCCATCCCTCATCCTCCTTCTTCACAATCTTCGCCAGGTATCGCCTGACAGGATCAGCCGCGCGAACCTTTGCCGAGGCGATGTCCGCAGCGTACTTGGGGGCAAACAGAGAGGAAGACATGGCAAAGAGGAGTTTAGAGGGAAGTTGTTTCACAACACAGGTTCAAGTAAGAAGGGCAGCTTGAGCCAAAATGTGGCATCAAGCTGTTGTCTCTGACAAGTTATAGTTCAAGTGTGCATCTGCGAGTTCCACTTCTGCCCAGAGAGAGAGAGAGCGAGAGGGGGGGGGGCGGCCAAGACGAAAGCCCCAGCGCTGCCAAGGGCCGGAGCCCGAGGCCGCAAAGCCCACGGGGACGTGCGTACGCGCAGGAGCGGGGGGGGGGGGGGAAGGAAGGAAGCCGGCAGGCCCCCAACCCCCCACACCAGCAGAAGGCACGGGACAACGAAAGAGACAGCGCTGGCAAGATTTTCCACGCACCTTCAGCCCATAATGCTGCCAAACGAACGTTGCCACAGCGCATCTTGCTCCTGGCTTCTTTGCTGTTGCAAGACCACTCCTTCACGTACGGGTGGTAAACAGAAACAAAATAGAGCGGGTAGAGCAACCGAGACGCGCAAAGAAACAAAACAGGAAAAGAAAAGCATCAAAAAAACAGAACAAGATAGAGGAAGGATGCCATCATGCGTGCGCCCTAAAGGAAACACGATCATTTTCATGGCATGAATATTCACAAGGCCAGCTGCAGTCAGCACATATGCAGTGCACTGACTGCAGCCAGCCCCATCCCAGACACAGGCCACATGGGCCCAGAATGCAACCGAGCATTCGCTTCTTCCGAGGACAGGTGGGTGGGCGGTTTCAAAGCTCAGCATCCCAAACCCCACCACTACCCAAACACAACTTGCTGATTGTGCTGCCGCGCGCACAGAAGAAGCGTCAAGCGTAACAAAAACCAGGCAGACGGTGGCAGACAAGGACAGCGACCCAGAGGGAAACAAACAAAAACACAGAAACTTGCAAAACTAGACAGACACAGACAAGAATGAAAGAATCTGACACGACCAGGCAGACACAGATTGAAACAACAGAGTTGGACTTAGACGTACTGGAAAGAAAGAAACAGACTGAGACTGCCACTGAGATTGAGGCTAAGGTTGACACAGACACAATCAGATCAGACATGATAAGACAAAGAAAGGCATAGACAGAGACAGGAAACGGACAGCCCCGCGCACAAAATGGATGCAGACACCCGCTCTGACAAAGATGACAGAGCAAACCGCCCAAACAGATTCCCTCCAAAAGAAACTGTCCGTAGGTTCTATGAGAAGTAACTCTTGGAAGGGTCCACGAGGCAAGGCAAGAGCCAAACGAGAGCGTCACATGCACCAAGCAAGTGCTCGACGTACAGCTTCCCAAAAAAGCAGCCACTCATCCTCCAAGTGGGTGTAGCTCAAAATGAAAGAGCCACCGTCGCGCAGGTTTTAGTCTTTGGTGCCATTTACCTTGTGGTGCCATTTTGGTACATGTATTTGCTCAGTTGCCCAAAGGAGCTGGGACTAAAAGGTTAACATTTTGAGACTAAATATGGACCAACACAGGAAAACCAAAAGGTCAAAAGCTTGGCTTCCTCTCTCTCTCTCTCTCTCCAGCATCGTCGAGCAGGTCTCGCTCGTCCCAGATCAGTGCGAAAAAGAGGCACTAAAATGCTTGGCTTTGGGCAACTGAGTTTGACCCATTCTCCAAGTCTCATAGAGGGTGTACATGGCCCGGTAGGCCGTGCCATAGCGGTTCCAGATCCACTGCCGGTCCTCCGAAGCTTGTCCGAATCGTTCGTTGACCCCATCGGGGTTGACGGCGGGGAGAAAACAACAACTTGGCCCCACGGATGGGGGGGAAAACGACCAGAAAAACGAGACGAAGAACCTACGTGCAGGAAATTGCCAGGTCTCCAATTCCAACAACCATGCCAAAAAGCAATCTCAACCCCATGTGGCGTCCAAGGTCCGAGGGCCACTGCATTTTTCATTTTGCAGGCACCGGGTCTCTCCCAAGTTCTGCCCAACGGCCGGCGCTTCGGTCCTCCATGGGGGCGGAGGGGTCCAAGATGAAGTCCCGAACCAAGTTGCCCATGACAAGGCTTGCCATGGACATGAAGACCCCAAGCCTCGAGCGATGAGGGCAAAAAAACAACACAAACTCGGCCAAACTTCGGCCCCAGGCCGGGAAGTGTATACATCTAAATGAATATATATATATATATATATATGGTACCCCCCCCATGGACCCTGGTTTGGTGCGGTTGACCTGTATTTTCCAGTGTTTTATGCTTGTTTTTGCTTCTTGGATTTGTGTCAAAATTGGGGGGAGGGTCATACATGTATATGATACGCATGCATACATACAGATGTGATAAAAGCAATGACATCAGCACCTGCAATCTGAAAGAGTTTGAATGCATCCAAGAATACAAGAACAACTCAGACAGTTTTAAAAATTATTAAAAAATATGGGATTCAAGATTCAAGATTCAAGAATGTGAGAAAATAGTTTCTGGGAATCTTGAATCTTGAATCTTGAATCCCATATTTCTAACAAGTTTTAAAAATTCCAGGGTTGTCCCAATACTCTCGGTGTTCAATAAGATTCTCGGAAAAGTTTTCCGTGAAATAGTTCAATCCAGTGGTAACGGATGTTCGAGGTGATAGAACAACTTGAACATTTTAGGGGTTGACCAGGATGGATGATTCTCAGGAAAGTGGTGGTTCGTGGGCTCCCCAATATTGAATCCCCAATCCAGTGGTAAAGCACTTTCAAGTGTTAGAAGAACTTGAATGCTATTCGGGTTTGGCCAGGATTGACAATTCTCCGGAAAGTTTTCTGTGTAATCTTCAATATTGAGTCTTCCATCCGATAGTAGCAAATTTTCAAGTGCTTAGCGATCCAGTGGACACACTTTCAAGTTATTGGTTAGACAAATGTTCAAGTGCTTTTGGTGAGCGTCATGTCAGCTATGCTCATGTTGACCCCTTTCCAGGAGGTAAACAAAGGCAGGTGCAACGCTCAAAAAAAACTGCATTTTCCAGTATTTTATGAGGAGGCGCAGGATCATTGGGGGTACTATATATGTGTGTATGTATGTGTATATATAGATATACATATGTATGTACGTTCACACACCGTCCCCCACCCTCTTCAACTACCTGTCCACATTTGCTCATCTACTACCTCCACCTTTTGAGATAGAATTAACTTTCCTGCGCAAATAGAACTTTAAATACAACGGTTTAGCTAGAATCCCTGTTTCGAGATAGTTTTAGATTTTGAACCTCTCTTCCCTTGAAATTTCCCTTTGGAACACCGTCTAACAAGTTCAATGTCGGACCTCCTTATGCTACAAAAGGGCCAGAATGTAAACAACACAAATCCTATTTTAAATTTCCAAATGTTTAGCCATATTTAATATGAATTATATTTGAGATGTAGTCGCTATTCAGATATTATCAAAAGCAAATTGAGTTGTGTTCGTCTTAGATTATATTTACCACTTGGATTATATTTGGGAAAAACCTTCCATCTAACTTCTTGTGTTATAGATTAGTTGGTCGCCGAAAATATATATTTTTTACCTTTTCGTGTAGCTGCTATTTGGAAAGGATTTGCTTGTTTAAGCTGTAATTGAACATAAACACTTTTTTGAAAACTATATCCATACTAAACTATATTCAAAATTCCAATTCTAGTTGAAGTAACATCTTATTTGCAAAGGGTATCATACTGGGACATTGTGGAGGACTCCGGGCTCCAAATTATCACGCTTTGGGGACCCACAATTGGAAATTTCGAGAATACAAATTTGGAAATTCTAGATTTGCCATCCCCAAAAGGCAGTAAAGCCAGGGTCCATGAAGGGGGGGTTGCATATATATATATACACATGCACATACATATGTGCGTGAGTGTGTGTGTGTGTGTGTGCGCATGTGTGTACGTGCATGTGCATCTCAGCATCTCCCGGCCAACCCCATGCCCGCATAAATCCCCAAGGGACAACCAAAGTCACATGCGCCAATTTTTGGGGGTCACCCCCCCCAAGAAAAGACACACTGCTGTGATATTGGGGTGGGGGTGTTGCAGGAGTTACCTAAGTGGTCTGTCACATTCAGTTAACTTCAAGTGAATCCCCCCACCCCCACCCCCCCGTAGACCCTCACAATCACAACTAGGGTTGCCAATCATTTCGGCAAATTTCAAGGCCATTTCAGTTGGGGACAAAGGGGGCTTTGTGCCTGTTGGTTGGCGCCACGGCGGCTATTCCTCGATGGTTTTGCCACGATGCAAGTAGTTTAGCGTTTCGGCCTGTTGGGAATTGGCTTTTCAAGATTTCATGAGGCAGGCTATCTTCCGACCAACGGCACCTTTCCCTCTTGCCCGCACAGCTTCCTACAAAAACAAGGTCGCCTCTTGCTTCCTGTCTGCCTTCCGGCCTTTGGCCACCCTCCTGGAGATCCGTGCTTAGAGCAGAAAGCAAAAGTTCAACCCTGGTAAAGGGAAGAAACTCCAAAGAACGGGCTTGTGCTTGCAAAGGCGCTTTCGTCGCACCCCGCTTGGGGGAATGTGTGGGTGGCTGATTTGACATCTGGCAGGCATTCATTTCAGCAAGCGTCTTCAGTATTACATCGTCATCGCTCTAATCGTCGCTGCAGGAGTCTTTTTACAGAAACTGTCATGCATGTTGATAATATACTGTGATGCCGAAGTGGGCTCCTATCCCTACAAATGCATTGTTACTTCTTGAAGGGGGGTCCCTCGGGTGTTGCAAATTTATGCGAAATAATATGAGCTTAACGTACCATAAGGAGCTGCAAATGAAAGATTGGCTCAACAAATGGACCAAAAGTTCCGTTCGGTTTGGGCCCCTCATCCTGACGTATACGCATAAACATGTGTGTGTGTGTGTCTCGCCCTTTGGGGTTCACAATCTGGCAGCTACTCATCATGGAAGCGGGCTTTTCTGCGATTTGAGGGGCTAGTTGTCCATGTCAACCCGTGTTTTGAAAGGCCCGGTCGTTTCCTGGGGCTCTGTGGATGCCTGGAACAGATCCCTGGAAAACTAAGCTGCCCCCTTGGCTATGTGAATTCCAAGAGACCTTCGTCATAGGTCTCCGCTCGTTCAACCCCCAGGTTAGCTCTTTCTTGCCCAGCGCAGATGCGTGCAGGAAATCAGAACCCTTTTTGTCTAGGTCCTTCAGCAGAGGTTAGAACAAGGGTACCCTTTTTTCTGTAGTCTATTTTAGTCCTCCCCAAAAAAAGGGTGAAAGCCCCCCACAAACCCAGCGAGAGCTGGCCAGGCCGCAACACCATGGACCAGGCCAGGGACGGCAAGAAGCACTGACACGCCTTCGGCGGACAAATCGAGGAACATATGACCTTTCCTCATCCCTGACATGGCTTAACCCTTTTCAAAGGGTTCAGTCGTCGAATGGTTCGTGCACCACGTGGCCGTTTCCCCTTTTTCTTCCCAAAGTGGAGTGGTCCAGTTTGACAAAACCACGGAAAGGAACTACCAACCCCCGCCAAAAAACAAAAAAGGAGACGGAACCTAATTATTTCCTGAGCACCCTGGTTTCTAGGGGCCGCCTTTCAAGGCCAGGTGCGAAACGAGTTCAGCAGCTTGCCACACCAAAAGTGCGCAACTTGTGTTGGCCCTCTTGCCCAAAGGCTGTTCCATGAAGGTCCCAGAGTTGCGGGGAGGGGAGGTTCCAAGGAAAAAGAATGCCGAAATACTCCTTAGCGGTCTTGGGAGAAATAGATGCTACCCATGAACGCTTCGAACCTCTACGCGGGGCAGAGCACGCAACGACCATTCATCAAGCTCTCAAGGCGCAAACTTTGCCCGAACATGGCGAGGTCAATCGCGAACAGCGGAGCCCTCCCCTAAAAAAGGGTGAGAAAGGGCACTACTGGGGACCTAGAAGGGCTATTGTTCCAGGTTCGCAGCTGCAACTGGGCTGGGCCCCAACCTCCCTCACCCCGCCTTCACCAGCAAGCTCAGCCCCCGAAAGAGCCGGAACGTCCGCACCATGCCTGCGCAAGCCGCGTCAGGTGATCTTCCGGGTGGTCCTTTTAAACGCTGGGCATGGGAAGCCCCCACCGAGCAAGGAAAAAAAGGGCACCACTGACGTCTGGGAAAGTAACCGGCAATGGATATTCTCATGACTCTCAACAGCTCCAACTCCGTCGTCAACACTTTGGGCTCGATTTCAGTTGGTTTAGGGTAGGTTTGGGTGGGTTTAGGGTGGTTTTAGGTTGGTTTAGGGTAGGTTTGGGGTGGGTTTAGAGTGGTTTTAGGTTGGTTTAGGGTAGGTCTGGGGTGGGTTTAGGGTTTAGGTTGGTTGGGGTGGGTTTAGGGTGGTTTTAGGTTGGTTTAGGGCAGTTGGGGTGGGTGTAGGTTTGGGTTGGGATTAGGGTGGTTTTAGCTTGGTTTAGGGTAGGTTTGGGGTGGCTTTAGGGTGGTTTTTGATTGGGCCCCGAACCCAGCAAGAAGGGATCCGAATGCCGCGCACCAAAAAAACCACCGGCCCTTGCCAGGATCATTCGGCATGGCGGAAATGGGACTTGTGACATAGAGTTGGTCCTCATCAGGGCTGTGGGAAATGAAATCCACTTCTATGATACAACAAAACTGGCCTCCAAAGACTACCCCGCCATACAAAGAGCGGATTCGCTTGTGTCACAGAAGTGGGGATAAACCCCTTGATCCCACAACCTTGGTCCTCATGGAGTTCCGGCAAATGGGGCCCTTTTCGATGTCCAACAGGAAAACATGGGCACAACTGACATTCGCACGCGCAACGCTCCATATTGCCGTCTTGGAGGCTCGGTACCCTGGGGTTGGTGCGACATGACCGGACAATTGACCGTTGGTCCAAGGCAGATCGACCTCTTGTCACTCCAACACGGATTCCCCAACGGCAGACATGCAAGAACTCAAGAACTCAACCAAGTGCTGGGTACATTCGTTCGGATGGGACGAATCCCTTTATTCAACATGATTGGAGAAAAGTGGGAAACACGTCGCAGCATCGCCAGGGAGAAGATCCCAAATACCAGAGGGCTCCGCTGGCACATGGCCAGATGGCCGCCTCTGCCTTTCCGTTTTGAGAACCACCCCCCCCCCCCTCTCAAAAAAACAGAAAAAGAAAAGAAAACGCGAAACAAAAACAAACAAAGAAGCAGACCTTCAAAAAAAAGAAGAAAAGCAGAAAAGAACACAAAACGGCGCCGCTTCGTCTGGTGCCCGACTGGTCCCCCCATCTCGTGCCCATCCCCTCTCGCTGCGCGCCGCTGCGCTCCCGGCCGAGGGCCCTGGCGGATGGCCCGGAGGCACTTGATGGCGCGCAGCAGGCGCATCATCATGATGTCCATGGCCTCCCCACTGGAGAGCGGCACCTGCAACACCGCCACACCGCACGCCGGCAGGCGCGCAAGCAAGCCAGCGACCAAAAGGCGCAAAAAGGCGACCAAAACGGAACGAAGAAGCCGGTTCAACACACCGGCAAGCCGCCAGCGACCCAAAAGGCGTGTTTGTTACGGAACAAAGAAGCCGAAAACGGTTGGCAGGATGGCATGTATGGGTTGGAACTTGCGAGTGCTGTCGGTTGTTTTCGTTTGGCTATTCCCCTCGCACACCCAACAGAAAAGCGTTTAGGCAATTGCTGGAGCACCCCAACGGAACGAGCAACTGCCTGGGATCTCCTACCAAGTGTGGTGTTGCAAAACGAGCCTAGTAAATAGCATCTCTCCCACCAACAAACATGGAAGAAGCGTGGAACACAGGCCTCCATTCCGAAAGTGGTCTGCGCACTCCATGTTTGTCGCGACTGTGCCCCCTGTTGGCTCTTCATGGGCAAGTCCTAGTCCATCTCTGGGAAGCCACCACGAAAGGAGAAGATCTGCTTCACTCAGAAGGATCTCGCGATCCACCAAACAGGATCGGTCAGGGAAGGGACCAGCTGCTATGCATCACATCCGGGGGGTGGGATACCCGCACAGGATCGAAGAGGACTTGAAAGGGGGCCTAGGAGGAGTTTGGAACTAGGTCCTCCAGCAGAGAGGTCAGAAAAAGGGTGCCAACTTTCTTCTGCAGTCTGTTTTACAAGGGGAATGCTCCCCCAAAAAAAGGTAAAAGAGCACTGCTGGGGGATGTAGGGTCACAACCCTTTTTAGAACAGGCCAACCCGCATCAGCCGCCTGAGCACATCTCCTGGGGTAACTTCCCCATTCTTTTCAGCGATGCGTTCCCAGAAATCGCAAAGAAGCTCAAGGGAAACAACTGACTTTCGCCAAAAAGCTGGCTGCAAAGAGTGGGGCAGCAAACCTTGCCAAAATCGGGGGGCGGGGGGGGGCGGGGTCAAAAAGGGGATTGTTTTCTTCGGGTTCCTACGCCAGCCACAAGGAGCGGTGTCATATTCCTAAACCCCTCCCAGAACTTCCCATCGCCGGGCGGCAATGATCAAAACGTCCACCAACCCGAGGATCACCTCCGCAGGAAGGTTTCCCATGGGGAGCTCAGCGGAAAATTCCGCCCTTCAAGTGATTTCACCAGCAAACAGCAGTTCTCCTCAGAACCTTGCAAAAAGGAAAACCATTTTGTGACTTAAGAAGCACCCTTCCTAACCCCATCCCATGTCCAAGAGAGATGCTACAGGGGTCTTGCACATAAAGCAATTGCAATTGCATCCATGATCGCATGGATGCATGGAAATATTGATTTCCAGCACCTGGCCTTTCAAAAACAACTCCTCTCCCAGCGCGTGCTGGAAGAACTGGTGCCTTGACCACAACTAGCCTACGGGCTCCACAGCTCTTCATCACACCTTCGGCCCTCAGAGAGTTTTCGGAAAACGCGCTTAATTATGGTGCTTTGTTTTCTGAATTGGCGGCCTGATTTAAGCCAAGGATATCCATCTCCAAGATGGTCTGAATTTCCCGGGGTCCATCAAAGTGACATCCTCAAACTTTCTCTCTGAATTGTGGGCTGAAGGGGCGGCCACCCCCCACGAGTAATTTTCGGAACCCCTATAAAGGTCGACTGACGACCCCGCTTAAGCACGTGGGTCACCATCCTGGGTTTGCTTGACAACCAGCGCTGCTTCCAGCCACCGGTACCCACATTTGTAGACCCCAACGAACCCCAGCGAACCGCGAAGCCGCTCTTGGATGGGGCAGTGGTGTAGGGAAGCCACAAGGAAACGAGCCAGTTTGGCTCGTAGTCTTCCCCGGTCAGCTGTGCGGCTCCCTCAAAACCAGAACCAAAGAGCAACCCAAGGCAACACATGTGCTCCCATGTTAGGGTTTAAGAAAAAGCCTCTTTTCTGGATTAGCGGGTTCCCTATTCATCCCCTTCAAAATATCACCTCAACAAAAAAGGAAATACATTTGCACAGGGCCAAACATGCGTTGAATCGGGCCAAACAAAGTCCTGCACTGCAGCAATTGAAAAATCCACAGCTCTTACCTTCCAACCCTTGAAGCATGTGGGCAAAAAATGTTGCTTATGTGTTTTTTTGTTTTTTTCGAAGATGGTTTCCACTACCCCCAAACCACTAAAATATACCTACGCTGGAAAGGGTATAATCCGCCACCCCCTTTTAAGAAATGGACCCCATATCAATGAATACGTTTTCCAGACTGGCTGAAACAGCCGGGTCCCCAATACTCTTTTCAGGCTTTCCCGACGAGGCGCCAGCAGAGCGTCAAACCAGTTGGTGAAGTCCTTAAAGAATTCACAGCGCTCCTCGGGTGCGCCAGGTGAAAGCTGTGGTCCCCCAGCACATGCCATGGCAAATGGGGGCCATGGTCTTGGTTGACGTTGGAAAGAGAGCAAAAACTTACATTTTAGCAGTTAAGTGGGGATTTCCCACTAAACCACAATAAGCAAACATGTAAAATGTTTCCCAACAACAACCATGTCAGTGGTCATGGTTTCGGTGAGAATCCTCACTAGGATTGTCTAAGTTCCCTACTGACGGGTTCATGACCATCTCCACTTGAAAGCAAGCAGGTCTTTGACCTTGGTGAGAACCACCGCCACCCCCAAGCACCCCAAACTGCATGCATGCCCCCGAGCACCCTGCCGTTCATCTCGCGAAAAAACACGTCGTCACCAGCACCTCAGAACCTGCACCCCGAACTGCCTGCCCGCTGGCACCTTGCCATCGATCCCGCAAAAATGCGCCATTAACTGCACCCAAAACAGCACCTGCACCAGCACCTCACACCGCATGCCCCCGCGCAAAGCAAGAACAACGCGGCTGGTTGCGCTGGTCAAGGTTTAAGGTGAAACCTGCCCATGGAAAGGAAACAAGGATGCCACTGGCTGCGGCATTCCAAATGATAGAGCTAAGGCGTTCCTTACACGCAACAAAACAAAACGCATCTTTGGATTTTGGTCTATACACAGGCACTACAGTCGGCCCAACCTCCTGCTCAAACATATGTAGACGAATGGTTTTGAACGACCTCCTCTACGTTTCCCTTTGAATGGGGCCGCGAGCTGCATTTCCGGACATGTCCTGCAGTTCATTTCCCCAAACAGGGTGCTAGGTCAACCTGAATCGAGCACGGTTTCCGAGAGTCGCTGCCCCCCCCCCCGCCGCCAAACAGGCCCAACCGCACAGGTGTCCTTTCAAGGGAATATATGGCCCTGGTGGATGATTACCAGGGCCATCGATTTTTCTACCAACGTAACTAAAAAGGACACCTATGCTCAACCGTCACAACCAGCAGCGCATCGACCGATCGGCAACTTTCTCGGCTTCGGCCATGTCTCCACCAGCAGCCTCAGCAGCAGCTCCCCAAGGAACACGAAGACAAAGGAAGAGTCGATGAAGCGGAAGGTGGGCTCCACCTCGCAAAACAAAAATATGCGCTTCGGGTTTTGCTTCGGAGGCAAGCGCCTCGAAGAACGATAGGTGGGGGAGGCGATGGAAATAGAAAGTAGTTGGACACCGGCATTCACCAAGCGACACATGGCACCTGGGTGTTTCATCTTTCTCCTGGGAGCGCGTTTTGGCAGTTCGGCCCCAACTCCTCCTTCTGACATACGCCCAGATTGGGTCTGAAAATGTCTCCCACCCAAAAATGGGCGGAGGACCTTCCTGGGCTGCCCTCAGATCCCCCGCTACTAGGTTAACTTTCAGCAGGTTGAATGGAAATCCCTACTAGAGGGATCCTTACAATGGATCCACCTGATTGCCTTGTAAATGGTGGTTTCCAACTTTATTTCGGTGTTGAAAAAGCCACATGTTGCAACTGGTTGCTAAAATGCTAACGAACCGGATGGCTGGGAGCCACTGAGCTTCCTAAAAAGTGCCTGGCGCGAGCATTTGACCTCCGCAGTGAGCCGTTCGAGCCATCGCTCAGGCGCTCCGAAAAAGCGAAAGGCCACAGGTGCCTTCCCAGTGCTCCCTGGGAGTCTGGGAGGACACCATTTCGGCAAGAACGAGGGGCACCTCATAGTTTGAACATGTTGGGTTGAAAACAACACCTCCGTCTGATTGCGTTAAAAATGCCTGGTTTTTGATCGGAACCCGTCCTTTTCTTGCTTGACGTTAAAAGGGGAGCAAAACTGTAAGTGGTTGGATTTCAACCACTCAACCACAACAAGCACACATGAGAAAACTGTTTCCCAACAACAACCCCTCCCCCCCCCCCCCCCGCCTTTGGCACTTCCCCCACTTCCCCCCACTTCCACCCTTTGGCACTTCCCCCCACCTCGACGCCCACTTCCGAGGGCCATGTTTTCCATCCATTTCCATCCTCAACTCTCTGGCCTGGTGCAGATCCCAGCTGGCGCCGTCCCCGAGCCCCAGCTGCCGCCCTCGCGCGGCTCAGAGGAACGGCAGGCGTTACGAGGCGAGTTCTCCGAAGGGGTGTCCCTCACCATCGTTCGTCCGCTACCTGGGCTCTCCTCTTTCAGATCTGATGAACAACATGTGGCGGGATAAATTCGGAGACCCTAAACATCCATTTGCTTAAGCCCCCCGCAAAAGATAAGAATATCTCCCATAGTGATAGGTTCCCTTTACAACCAACAGGGCATTTAAAAAAAAAAAATGGAAGCTCAAAGGCCCCAAAATGACTGCTTTCCTTTTGGCCTCCCTTTGAACACCAACTAATAGGTATCCACCATTTTGAGAAACATTGAGTCGAGGTCTGCAACTTCACTCTTTGAAAGGTGGTTCCACAGAAATGCTCCCCTGGCATGGGAGACGCCAAACACAAGGGCTGGCACGAAAAGTGAAAGGGAAAATGAAGGAAACCGTTGCCATAGAGAGCATAGGACATCCAAACCGGAAACGGCATAGCAGAAAGGTGAGGTAAAGCAAGTACGCCTTGCTCTGAGCGTCCTTTTTCAGAGTGTGTGTGTGTGTGTGTGTGTGTGTGTGTGTGTGTGTGTGTGTGTGTGTGTGTGTGTGTGTGTGTGTGTGTGTGTGTGTGTGTGTGTGTGTGTGTGTGTGTGTGAGTGTGTGTGTGTGTGTGTGTGTGTGTGTGTGTGTGTGTGTGTGTGTGTGTGTGTGTGTGTGTGTGTGTGTGTGTGTGTGTGTGTGTGTGTGCGTGTGCGTGCGGTGTCTCGAAGTCCTGCTGGCAGGTTCTTAAGTCAATATCGCGCAGCGCAGTTTAAAAGTGGATTGAACGAGAGAAAAATCTGACCAGGTTAGCGTACGTCACAAGCCCGGCAACGCATCTTTTCCGAAAGCCGACGTCCAACACCCTTTGCTGAGACATAGTGAAGCTGAACGTTTACCACGTTGCCCCCTCGAGAAAGAGAGACAGAGAGACAAACAGCAATGCTTAAAGTTGAGTGGATTGACAAGTTTCCCTTTTGCACGAAATACACCCCTCCTGTAGGTGAAAGGGAAACAACTCAAGTTGAGTTCTAAAGTGCGAACCATGTAAAGTCCACAGCTTTGTAGACAGGACAACATGCCCGTTCTATGATCATGACATCACCCCACCGACACGACCCGTCCCAACGATCTGCCTCAAAGTGACCACCGAGCACCTGTCCCAAACTGCCTCAACACCAGGCCTCAAAGTGACCTCCGGACAAGGTCAAAAATACCTCCAAGAGAAAACCTACACTTAGACCTAGATTTTCCAACAAGGTACCCTGACACCTGCAGTTTACTCATCATGTGGCTTTCCAGTTTCCCCCCAAAATCGAGATATTCGCTGCTTCGTCGGGAAAGAGTCCTTGCCCGCCCGCCAACGCCCACTCGCCTGCAGCCCGGCCCTCGATCTCCAGCTCGAACATCATCGCCACAGAGTTCAGCAGGACCAAGGCCGCAGCGCCGTAGTCGATGAGGTGGTGATACTTCCAGCATCTCGATCCTTTGGTCCTGGGCAAAGAAGGTGGGGCTAAGGTTTTTTTCTTCTCGCATGGGCACGGTGGGGCGAATGATCTTTCGATCTTGAAGCGCAGTGGGGAACTGGTCACTGATCGGTGGTTTGGGTGATGGCTGTGGGCAGATCTATGTCTGGGTGTTTGGGCTCGAAAGTTGGTTTCTTTGACTCTTGCTGAATTTTGACTCGTCCTCTTTGTTGGATGTTGGACCCTTTCTTTTTTCGGCATTTCTTTGGGTAATGTCAATAGGTCGGTGGGCTAGGTGCTGGTGGTCCTTTCCCTTAATTGGCAATTGATGGTCGTTTGTATCTTGGCGGCTTGGCGATGTTTGAAGTTGGGGGGGTGGTGTTTTCCCAGGTTTCCAGAAGGATGAGGGGTCGGAAGGCTAGAAAGGTTTGCATAGGCCTGACGATAACCACCGCAAGACCAAGTAGTGGAACCACCTACTGCAGTGTTCAGTGGCCATTGGTTGGCACTGCCCCTCCAAATGAAAGGAAGGAGCAAAAAGAAGGAGCAAGCAAGCAAGCAAACAAACAAACAAACAAACAAGCAAGCAAGCAAGCAAACAAGCAAACAAACAAACAAACAAACAACAAGAAACAAAAGAAACAATCGGGGGACCCTTGACAATCGGGAAAAATGGGGTACCTGATGAGCCTTAGATGTTTTGCCTCCAGAAGTCAGAAAAAAAGGGGTTCCGTACTACAAGCGGGCGTCGTAAGTCACCCCACGTCGCGTTAAGTCACCTCAGCCATCCCCAGCCGCTTGGAACTACGCATTTCCGTTTAAGTCACCCCATGCGTTTTAAGTCACCCCATTTTTTGCAAAACACAATGGGCACAGAACTGGAAGGGCGATGTTGCCAACCCCAAGAATTCACCGCACACTGCACGCACAGGCTCAAAACTCACTGGTTTGGGTTCATGTTGAATGCTTTTCCCGGGCAAAACCCTATTCGGCACACTGCAATTAAAGGGTTCCTATCCTTCAAACATAAATGGTGTTTTCTGTTGGTTCCCCCGGAACACCCGACAAAAGGGCTGCCGGCGCGAGTGCCGCGCGACTCTGCGCATGCGCACAGCACAGAATTATGCGATTTCAGAAAAAGACATGCTTGAGACAACTATCCTTACATCCACAAACACAACGGGCACACTCAGCCGGGACGACTTAGATCAACCCGGGACGACTTACAGCACCCACCCTGCAAGGGGGGGTGACATTGATGCCAGCGTGGCCTTCAACGAGCTTCCCAAGCATTCACCTGCCTCAACAAGGGCTTGTCTGTAAATGGAGGGGGGGTACCCAAAATGGGTGGCTTCCCTGTCCAAACCTCAAGAAAAGGACGACACACCTTTTTATGTTTCGACACACCCACATGTTGAAACTCCTATAGTTGCGACAACCCGTTTGGGCCGCCAGAGGTTGATTGACCCAATTTAGATGACGAAACCCTGGTCAACCCACGGCGGCTGTAACTTGGTTGACGCTGGGTTAGGGAGCAAAAATATAAAATGTTTAGCAGTTAAGTGGTTGGATCCCAACCACTAAACCACAATTAGATCAAAAATGGAAAAAATGTAAGTCCCAACGACAACCATGAAGCCCCGATCGTTTGAATGGGACCCCCCGGCATCCCGATCCCACCGTCCCATTAGGCCTCTCCGACGTGAACTCGTGGCCGGGCACGGCCCCGGAGATTGAGCTGAGGTGCCTTGCGGCGAAGCTCGCTCGCCATTGAGAGGCTCGGCCAAAAACGTAAAGTCTGGGATCTCCGGGGGGTTAAAGTCATGTGGGTTCATTAAACCCATAGAATTGGGGGGGGGGGGGTGGCGCATGGATTTTGGGTTTCTGCCTTCTCTTCGGCCCAAAAGGGTGCTTGTGACAATAAACCCCAAGCCCCGCATGCAAACGATTGACTCTTACAGGTGCCAGAAAATGGTTGTAGAATAAAACAAACAAGTTTGCATGCAAAGGATATTCGGAGTGAACAGATCGTTTTGCTGCCCGAGCACCTCGCCATATCATGAACCGCGGAGAAGAACCACCCTTCAGAGGCAACAGCCTTGGTTGCTGCATTTCTGGTACATGGAGTTGAGTATGCTGAAGCCATCGTCAAGCAAGCAAACAAAAAGGCCGTGGCCTAAAAGGAAACTCCCTTGAATGATAGTGTGGTGTGGGGTTTCATGCCGAATGGTGCTGAAACACACAGACGCTGCCTGGACTGCAAAAGCTTAGGTATGTATGTCACGTTAGGCCAACTTGCAATGACTTGAAATCCTGTGCGACATGTCATCGTGGAACGTTGCAAGCCCCTTTTCGATTCTAGCACAAGAGCACGAGCTGACCAAGGCATGTTCTGGATGTGCGCTGCAAGAAGTGACGAGGAAGGTCCATCAACAACCCCGGGCTAGAAAGAACAGACTTGGTGGCTTCCCTATGCTACCCCTTTACAACACCCGCCAAAAGAACATTCACAGCATCAAAAGCCAACAAAAAAAAAAAAAAAACATGCCCGCTCCTGGCAGTTATTGAACTTTGAACCCGGGGAACTGTTTGCCCTTACGAGTAAGGGTCACCTCGCACCTTAAAGAGAAAATAGAACAGCCTTGGTCCAAAGGCGGCTTTTCAACCACCCGAAAGGGGACATCATGTCCACCAACTGGAGAAAGACCAACGCACCCCACCCTCGCTAAACTGAAGCCATTCAAAACAGCTGGTAACGAGTCTACTCTCCTGACTCTTTGAAGCACCACTCAGGTGCTACTGAGGCCTTATTCGCAAAACGGTGCCTCCTTTATTGCCGCATAAGGGTTAGTGCCAAAATGGGAGGATTGCCCAGTTCCACTGGGCAGCTCCCCTCAGCAGCTGATGGGAGTAGGATTGATGCCACTCCCACAGCGAGGGAGGACTCCTCCCACCTCACCGGATGCCCTCCCGGCATCATGGGTGAGGAAGGAAAGTAGCGAAGATCAGCTTGATCAATTCGCTTTCGACTGAGGGGAAGACCCGGTTCTCAGTCGGAAATTGCGGGTCCGGATGAGTAAGTTCATCCGCCCATGTGTTAAAGTCGCGCTTCACATGCGACGGTCCCAACATGACCTGGTGGTCATGCAGTGTTAACACAATTTCCATGAGGATGGCCGCATTGGGCATCCTGCGAGTGGAATCGTTGAGCAGGGAGAAAACGTTTCCCTGGTTATCACTAGCAACCAGAATCCTAGTGTGAGAAACCGAGCCGGCTGCACAAAGCAGAGCAGCCCTCACCAGAAGGAGGAGGCCGAAGAGCTCCAAGGCCGCTATCGCTCGCTGCGGGTCCCCAGTAGCGAAGGCCCACGGCTCGCCCTCCGGTGTGATTCTGTGTTGGAACCACTTCACGCGGGACTTGTCGGGGTTGGGCACGTCCGAGCACCAACCACCAACCCATGCATGGTCAGCCTGTCTGCCAGCTCCCGCATCAGATGCCCCCGTCCATGGGAGTGTGGGAGCAAATGGAGATGCCAGTGGGAACCTCTGGTTGAAGAGTCTCCCCAAAAGGATGGCCAGAGCACGAACCAGCTTTGGTGGCCTGCCCGAAGTGGTGCAGGCCTTCTTCCAGCTCCAAAAAGGCTGGAGGAAAGGTTTCGTCAATGGGCACGCCGAAGTAGCCCATTGAATACGGCCTAGGGCTTGTTCCACCTCCTTGCTGGTGAAGATGTCCCCCTGGGCCAGCCGTTTAAGAGTGGCCAGGATTATGACGTGTTTGACTGGAGCCAGCAGTACACACAAAACCCAACCAGGTATTGATCGGGGAGAGCGCCGTCTTTTTCCAGGAAAGCGGGACTCCCAGCGCCAGCAGTGTAGCCAGGATGGCTGTGGCGTCCCAGTCCGCCCGGCTGCATCTGAGGACCCAGCAGTAGTCGTCCACAAAGACTAAGTGCCAGTCCACCTGGGGGAAGATGTAGTACAAGAGCCTGAGCACCAAGGATGCCTTTCTTCCCCAGTACAGCTGTGCCGAGGCCATGCCGTACGTGCCCACTCTGTTGACCCACCACCGGTTTTGGATGCAGGCCACCTGGGATTTCCAGTCTTTAGGGAGCACTTTAATACGCCTGTGGGCCGTGGTGACATCTGCCTTGAGGATGATGAAGGTTTCCCCCTGTGTCGGCAGCTGCCATCTCAGGGGTTCCCCCCCGCTCCCCCCAGGGCATTCCGTGCCCGGGGGTTGGGGGGAAGGGGGCCCTCCTGTCAGGGCCCTCGGCACCTGGGAGTGGTCCCTTTCCTGAGGGTGTCGATCCCAGTTTTGTTGTTGGGCTTGTCCTAGAGACGTCCATGCCGCCGGAGGTATCCATAATCCCCCTGCCCCGATCAGGCCCCTCGGCCCTGGAGGGCAGGTGCTCCCTCTCAGGGCCCTCGGCACCTGGGGACTGCCCCTGCACCGGCTGGTGAACATCCCGAGGTCTCTCCTCAGTGTTCGGGAGCGTGGCCCAAAGTAGATGGGGATGGTCCGTCGCTGTCCTGAGCCAGTGGATGGCGTGGAGGCAGTCTCCGACCATCGGTGCAGTGGTCTTCTCCCCTGTGTGAGCCTGGATGTGTGCGTTTGCTCCCCCTTTGGAGCCATCGTAGATCGTCCTGATCTTGTCCGACTCATCAATCCCTGCAAGGGGGCCCGGGCAAAGTTCCTCCGGTTTGCAGCGGCACCTCTCCGCCGCCTCGGAGCGAGTGAAGGGCCCGTCCACCATGTCCAAGGCTCGTTCCTCGTAAAAGGTTGATTCGATTTCCTCGGCAAAGAGTTCAGCCGTTGGGTAGTTATCATGAGCCACTGGCGGGGGGGGGTCTTCCCCCAGCCAGGCTTCTCCCTTAAGCTCCTCCTTAGTAGGCCAAACTCCCGGGGAGGTCAAGGTAGGGTCCGAGACTCTCCCTCTTTCAGTGTCAGGGGGAACTCCCAATCAGGGTCACCTGAAAGGGATGCCAAGTGCGACACTAAGTCCAGGAGGAAGGGTTGTCCTGGGCATCGTTCATGGAGGTGCCTCAGTCCTAGGATAGCCCGCAGCTCCTCGAGGTCGGCTTCCTGGAAGGGGTGTGTGGTGGCACCTGATGCCAGGGACATCCGGACCTTATCAATCCAGGGCCTGGTAAGGGTCATGATCAGGGCGCCCAAAGTAGCCAAAGGGGAAATTCTCCGAAAGGGGGGGTTGAGCCTCCCCGGGGAAGGTTTCCCCCCCCCATCCCTCAGGGGGCGTGAGCGGAAACCCAATTGGACAATCGCAACTCGGTCAATGAGGCGTGGGACCCTGAAAGCGGGCAGACATTCGGGGCGGTCCAGGACCTGGTCCCCATGTTCTTCCTGCCCCAGTTGTTCCGCATCTCCGGCCATCGGGGGCATGGGAGATGGGAAGTCTGGGTTCATAGTTCCACGAGGGCTTACGGTGTCTGCCTCATGGTGGATGTGCCCGTGCTGGCGGGGCATTCTTGCCTCCGGGCTTTGGGCCCTGGTGTGACGAGGAGGGACCGCCTCCCTGATTGGGTCCCCGTTTTCCCCGGGGAGAAGGGCTGTCAGGGGGGTCCGACCCCCTCCCCTTAGGTGGTTCCTTAGGGTTTCCCGGGAATTGTGAGGGGATCCGGATGTGCCCCGGCGCTGCGAGTGACACAGCGATGGCTTTGGCCAGGCCTGCCATCATATCCCAAGGGTATCTGGGAGATTGCTGTCAAGGAGTTTTCCTCCATCCAAAGCTGCCCCTCCTCCGTGATCCAGAAGGATGAGCATTCCTTGGCTTTGGGCAGCGAGCTGCTCACCACTGGGTCCTCCGGGTGCTCCAAGAAGGACTTTGGCCCTGGCAGAGAAACCGCCGATCTTGAGGCCCTTGCCAGGCTGGTGATGTACATCTGCCTCAAAATGAGGATACTGTCATCATCAAGCTGAGTCTGGGCGGCCTGGTCCAGGTGTGGGAGGCCCCAAAGTGTCTCTCGAGTGCGTCCTCGCACCGGGGTGGGGCCCCCGGTTTTGGTATGTGGCGCAGGATGGACCATGTCCTGCAGTTGGGTCCTCCCCCAATGAAGACCACGCGGCCCTGCTTTGCTGCCGTGCAGAGAGCTCCATACAGCTCGGGTTGGAGCATGTCGTGGTTCCCTTTTGGTCCCGATCGTAGGATGTCTACCGCCACCACCATGCTGGAGAGGTGCGGGTAGTTGGCATGAAGACAGCTGTCTAAGGAAGTTGGGTCTTCCTTGCCTGCATAGAGCAGGACAATGATGGGCCCACTGGATGGAACTTTGGGCGATGTGCCCTGTGTCCATCTCAGCCGCTGTACCAGACGCTCCGGGATGTTCTCCATCCACGGGAAGATGTCCCATCCCGGTGACGGCTCCGTGGGACTTGTCAGGGGGGTAGCTGAAAGGCGCTGGCCCCCTTCATTCAGCCCAACCGAGCTCTTATGAAAAACCACCGGGTCCTGCTTGATGATGTTGGGCGCCGGAAGTGGGATCGGCTGCCTCCTGGGCGTGTTCCTTGGCGTTGCGGTGTGCTGCCAGTTGTCCGGCACTCGGGCCTGCTGGGCGCGGCCCCCCGTGTCAGGGCCCTTGGCACCTGCGGGGAACCGTCCCGTCCCTGCCGTCTCAGGGCCCTCGGCACCTGTGGCACGGGGCTGCGGCGCCGCCGTTGTGCCAGCTGTGTGGTTGTTCTGACCCCCGCGAGGGTGTTGTGCACGCTGGTTCTGTCGTCCCCATCCTTGTTCC